GCAAAACACTTCCATGGAAGCCTAAGGGTGGTGCTTTGAATGGTCTTGGTCATTTGAGCAAACCAAAGCAAAAGAGAAGCAAAAGATCAATGCATTGCAATTCTCGACCTGCACGTCGACGTCATAGTATTTGGATCATATCTTGAGCTACAAATGTCCAATTGAAGTGATTCTTATGTCATTGGAAATATAACTTGAAGGGCTAAAACTTTGATTCAAGCACCAAATGCTAATTCAAATGTTTCAAGGGTGAAAAATGACCTAGAAGACAGACTCAGTGCACACTGCCTTGTGGCCACGGGTCTGGCCACGCCCGTGGCCACTGGGCAGTACACACTGCCTTTCTGGCCAAAAGTGAAGCCACGCCCGTGGCCACACCTGTGGCCAGGCCTCTGCAACTTTTCTCAGCTCGTTTTTGCTCATTTAAAAGGGGATTTTTGACCCCAAAAACATATCTTTCACTTCCTTTCATTTCCTCTCATTTCCTTAGCTTATATTAGTCTAGTATTTCATCTCTAACTCATCTACAAAGCTTGTAATCATGGATTGGAGTGGGATTCAACCACAAAATCTTCATCTTCAATAGAGAAGTTTCTTACTCTTCTTTTTAAGCTTTTGTGCAATGTTTATGATACTTTCTTGTGCTTTGTTGTTATTTATGCTTATGAAGTGTGAGTAGTTCGTCTTTGGGCTTGGATTAGGGTGATATTCCCAACCTAGATGCTAAATAGGTGATTATTGCATAAGGGGGAAGAACCCTAACCTAGGGTTCATTTGTTTGAGTTGGTTTTATGTTGAATCTTGCTAATATTTGGTACGTAACTCTTATTAGCTTGCTTTTGGATAGTTCTTCTCCACAATGAAAGTTGGGGGAAGAACTTAAGCCTCACCTTTCTCAAATCCCATTTCTTTCTATGAAAATAGGGAAGAATTAGGGGCCTAAATGCTATGTGTTTTAAGAGCTAGGAATTGATACACCACGAAAGTGGGGCAAGCCTTGCTCTAATCCTTGTTCTTTAGCTTATGAAAATGGCTTTAAGCTAGGATTTTTATGTGCTTTGCCCTTATGTTCCCTTGGTTGATGTTCTCCCCTAATACCTAAGTTGTTAAAGCATATAGAAGGCAGCATCCCCTAATTGAGCCCATCTTTTATCATTGTGTTTTTACTTGTGTTTAAATTGCATTGTCTTAACTAGATTTTTAGCCTTTAATTGTTGACTTTACCCAACCATGAATTTGAATTTGCTTGGATTCTTGTGGGCTCTAATACTTTGGTGCCTAGAATTTTAGTTGTCACTCAAGTACGTGCCATAGTCCCAATCCCTTGCGGAACGACAATTTACACCCGTTACTCACCATCTCTTTCCCGTACTCCAACTTTTTGGCCAACAAGATCAAAAGAGTTTCCTTTTGGGTACCAAAGTCCTACACTTTGGGTTCCCTTAAGGAATCTTAAAATCTTCTTAGCAACACTTAGGTGACTTTCTTTCGGTTTGGATTGAAATCGTGCACATACACCAACGGCAAAAGAGATATCGGGCCTACTAGCTGTGAGGTAGAGAAGGGATCCGATGATTCCAAGAAAATTCTTTTGATCAACATCTTTCCCTTCGTTATCAACATCCATTCTTAATGATGTACTCATGGGAATTTTGACTGAGAACTTTCCATCAATTCCAAATTTGCGAATCAAGTCCTTTGTGTATTTTGCTTGATTAATGAATATCCCTTCCGGACATTGTTTAACTTGCAAACCAAGAAAGTAGTTCAATTCTCCCATCATGCTCATTTCGAATTTACCTTGCATAAGGTTTGAGAATTTCTCACATAAATCTGGATTTGTACTTCCAAAAATGATGTCATCAACATAGATTTGAACTAGCAAAACATGATCATCATCTTTGATCCGAAAGAGCGTTTTTTCAACAGTTCCTTTCGTGAAACCACAATTGATAAGGAAGTACGAGAGCGTATCATACCAAGCTCGTGGAGCTTGTTTTAATCCATATAAGGCCTTTTTGAGATGACAGACTTTTTCTTGTCCGCAATCAATAGCGAAACCATGTGGTTGTTCAATATACACTTCTTCTTCAAGAAGTCCGTTTAAGAATGCACTTTTGACATCTATCTGGTAGACTTTGAAATCTTTATATGCCGCATAGGCAAGAAACATTCGTATTGCTTCAAGCCTGGCTACAGGGGAGAAGGTTTCATCAAAATCAATACCTTCTTCTTGACAGTAGCCTTTAGCAACAAGACGAGCTTTGTTCCTAACAATGAGACCATCTTCACTCATTTTGTTTCTGAATACCCATTTGGTTCCAATGACATTTTGATGTGTAGGTCTCGGAACTAGTTCCCATACATTGTTTCGTTCAAATTGGTGAAGTTCTTCTTGCATGGCTATAACCCAATCTGGGTCGCTTAGTGCTTCTTCAATAGATTTTGGTTCCATTTGTGATAGAAAACAGGCCATCATATTTTCGTGCAAGGAAGCTCTCGTTCTTACTCCTTCTTGTACATCTCCAATGACTTGATCAGGAGGATGGTCTCTCAGCCATCTTAGATCTGGTTCAAAAGGTGGTTGTTGCTGCTGAACATTCATTTCAGGAATATAGGGTAGGTCAATGTATATCATAGGTTCTGAGGTAGGTTGAACATTCGTGTTAGTGACTCGTGTTTCTTCAATAGTTTGAGCACTAGATTCGGAATTCGTAGACTTCGGTTGATATTTTGTGTAAGATGGAAGATGATCTTCGAAGTCTGAATCTTCTTCATCAATGATTACATTTCTTTGAGAGGTTGAGCCTTGACCAGTCGTTTTATCCATCTCAACAGGGATTTTCTCGGATTTTTCATCAAATTTAACATGTATAGATTCTTCTATGACCATTGTTCTTTTATTGAGAACTCTGTATGCTTTGCTAACCGAAGAATATCCCATAAATAATCCTTCATCAGCTCTTTCGTCAAAAGCTCTTAGATGAGTTTTCCCGTTGTTATGAATAAAGCACTTGCAACCAAAGATATGAAAGTAGCTAATGACAGGTTTCTTACCTTTCCATAATTCATATGGAGTGAGATTGTGAGCTTTGTTGATCAGGGATCGATTTTGTGTGTAGCAAGCTGTATTGATGGCTTCAGCCCAAAAACGCTTAGGCAAACCCGAATGTGCAATCATTGTTCGTGCTGCTTCTTTCAAGGTTCTATTTCTTCTTTCGGCAACACCATTTTGTTGTGGTGTTCTTGCTGCCGAAAGTTGGTGAAATATGCCATTTTGTTCGCAGAAATCCTTGATGACTTTGTTGACAAATTCAGTTTCCTGATCTGATCTAATCCTTATAATGTTGATTTCCTTCTCTATTTGAAGTTGTCTCAAAAGATTGGGCAGAACAATTTCTGTTTCGTTCTTCTTCTTCAGGAACAGTGCCCATGTATACTTCGTGTGATCATCTACCACGACCAGTGTGTATTTTCGTCCACTGAGACTTGCGGGGTCAACTGGTCCGAATAAGTCCATATGTAGCAAACTCAATGGTCGAGAGTTTACGTCTGACTCTTTGGACTTGAAGGATGATTTTATTTGCTTTCCTTTTTGACATGCTTCACAAATCTTGTCTTTAATGTATGTTGCTTTTGGTAGACCTTCTACTAGATCTTTCTTTGCAAGCTTGTTGATGGTCTTTATGTTCAAGTGACTGAGCTTGTTGTGCCATTCCCAGCATAGATCTGCATTGCTTTTAGCTACAAGACAAACGTTAGCATTAAATGAGTTCCAAGTGATAACGTACATATTTTTCTTTCGTTTCGCTGAGAGAACAATTTCGCCATCTTTCGTGCTGACGATATTGCATTTATCTTTGGAGAATTCGACGTTATATCCTTTTGTCGCAAAACTGACTTGTGCTTAGCAGATTGAATTTCAATCCTTCTACGTATGAGACATTTTGAATTGTTATGCCATTTCTGATGACATCTCTTGTCCCACAAGTTTTTCCACTTGTTTCTCCTCCAAATATTACTTTTGGGCCATCAATTTCCTTAAAGTTGCTCAAAATCGTTTTGTCACCAGTCATATGTCTTGAGCATCCACTGTCCACATACCATATGACTTGTTTTTCCTGCAAGAAAGATTATGCATTTTTAGGTACCCCTTCGGTTACGGGTCCTTCGGGGTTAGAGGTCAACTTTGGGATCCAAGCAAACCTAGAGTAACCTCTACTCATTCTCGGTCCCTTGTACCCGTTAAAGACACGATAATCATAAAAGATTTTTGAAAAGGTTTTGTTCTTATATCGTTCTTGAAAATAATCAGCAGGAGGATTATGATACTGCTTGGAATAATTGGTTTGTTTATGCAGATGTATTTTGTCAAATTGCGCTTTTGACAGAGGTTCGGGATAATCAAACCAATCTTCCTCGGTTGGTCCACTCCATCCATTGCCTGTCCTCGGTTTTCTGAATGACCTCTCGGCATGTCTGATATGTCCATTTTCTTGTGGAGGATTCTTTCGTGCAAAATTAGGACGATTTTGCCTCTGATTAACATTTAGTTTTGTCATTGATTGATTATTCCTTATAGGGTGACCTTTCTTTTGATATAGATTAACTCTATTTCTGTTTGGTCTATTCCATTTGGCATTTTTGTGCCTAGGATTGCCTTTCAAGGAATTTTCATTTCTCGATTCCACAATTCGTTGTACAGCCGTTCCCTTAGGTTGGCTTGTTGATTGTGGTATTTCACCATTGTTAACCTTGGTCACTGGCTCAGACATTTGAGTGGGACCTTGAACAAAAGCAGATGTAAAACTTTCACGGGTGTAAACATTTGTGGGTTTGTTTAAGGTGACATGTGAAGAGGAGCCGAGGTCATAACCAATTCCGATTCTTTCCCCAGGCGGTTTCGAACTATTTACCATTCGGTCCATCAGATTGGACGAATTATTAAATGAGTCAAGAACCTCACGCAAATGTTGCTCCCGCTTCTCTCTTTCTGTACACTACTCTTTGAGAGATAGAACTTGTTTTTCGAGCTGATCCTTTACAATGACTAGCTTTATGTTCTCTATTCGAACTCGCCTTAGCTCATTGTGGCTGATCAATAATCGAGAGTTCTCCTCTTTCAATTCTGAGTATGTGCTATTTATGATAGCAAATCTCCTCATCATATCACTGACAGATTCATTGGAGTTTTGATCATTTGATGAGTTCATTTCTAACGAAAGAAAGGAAGAGGATTGAGAGTCTACCTCTTCATCTTGTGCCATAAGACACATTTCACTTGATTCTTCTTCCACGCTGAACAAACACAGCAGTCCCTTTTCTTCTTCAGCACTGTCATCATCCGAGCTTGAGCTTGAGGAACTGCTTTCGGATTCATTATTTTCGGTCGTTTCATTTACGACCATTGCTTTTCTCCTTCTTTCGTTTATGGAGTTCGACGATTCTGGTTTGTCACTCCTTTTGATGGATTCGCTGGTTTCTTTTGTCGTGCCCAAGTCCTGATGTTTGCTAACCATTGGATGTGGGCAATTTGCCTTAAAATGTCCAGGCTTTCGACAATTGTAGCACATCATTTGGGAATCCACTGTTTCTTGTCTTGGTGGAAGTGGAGATCTTTCATGTTGCCTTCGGCTTGATGATCTTTGAAAGTCTTGGAAGTTATTTTTCCGCATGAATCTTTGAAAGGCTTGATGGCATATTGTTCGTCAGATAAAAAATTTGAAGAGTTAGAGGTTGACCTATTTGACGTCGAGGGTTGTTGGTTGGCCACCAACGCCATGTTTTTGATTTCGGGTTCTTCCAACTCCTTCGGTTCGTGCTCGAATTCATAAGCATTCAGATCACTGAAGATTTTGCTTGTGCTCGTGGTTTTCATGTCTCGATGATCTCTCATTGCGGTGACTTTCATGTCCCATGATTTCGGGAGGCCTCGAAGAATCTTCAAATTCTTCTCTTTTTCAGTAAGCTCTTTTCCGAGATCTGAGAGATCACCCAGAAGTTTCGTGAACCTAAGCTCCATGTCGGTGATAGCTTCGTTGGGCAACATCTTGAAGTCTTCAAACTTTTTCATGGCTACTGTAAGTTTGTTGTCTTTCTCCTGCTCATCCCCTTCTCCCAAATTCATAAGAACGTTCCAAATTTCCATTGCTGTTGTGCATTTGCGGACTCTCGGGAATAGGGAATCATCCAGAGATTTGTAGAGAATATCTCGAGCAACGTTGTCCAAGTTAGCTCGCGTTTTCTCATCAGAGTTGAGTTGAGCCTTTGGTTTCGGTATCATGGGTTCTGCACCAGCTCCTTGTGCAGCAGCTTGAGTGTTCACCATCATAACAGTGATAGGTCCTGTGGTTATCACATCCCAAATTTCATAATAAATGGCCGACAGATGTGCCTGCATTCTCACTTTCCAGTCATCAAATTTTTAGAGATTGAAGGCAAGAGGCCTAGATCGGTTAGAATGATCCTTTTCCATTTTCTTTTCGAAAAATTAGTGCAAAGATGAAAAGATGCAGATTTAAGATTTTAAGAGAAGAGATCTACCAGGCAGTAAAGGCAAAGCTTTTACCGTTCAAGGTAACTGCTCTGATACCACTTGTTGGTCCCGGTAGGGTCGGAAGGAGAGGTCTATAAGGGGGAGGGGGGTGAATAGAATCAATTCGTTATTCACGAAAATAACTCCTTTCGGGGTTATTACGCAGCGGATATGTAATGTAAATTTTAAGTTTCTTTGCACTGTTTGATCTTATGGAGAACTTTCGGTTAGGGCTAATGAAATGCAATGTACGAAAGTAAAATGCTGAAATGTAAAGAGACAAAGACAAGAGATTTTTATAGTGGTTCGTCCAACTGTGCCTACTCCACTCTTCTTTCACAACTTGTGAAAGGTTTGCACTATCACTCCTAGTACAAATTACACCAGGATAGCTTCCTTGATCACTAAGCCGGACAGCTACTTGAAGGTTTTTCAACTCCTCGAGTTTACTCCGCCTCTATCAACTTCTTCTTCAGAGTTGAGGGTTGGATAGAATAATCTTTGAGTTTCTCCAACACGTTGAAGTCTTGACTGGCTGGTGGCTAGATGGATAATCAACGTGTATAAAGTTGCAAGACTTCTTCAAGGTTGTGTGAATGAAATCAGATTTGCTTCTTCAAAATATCACACCTTGAATTACTGGATTTCAAAAGCTTTGAGAGAGTGTTTCTAATGTAAGGAGCTTTTGAGAATGGGAGTTTTATCGTTCAGAAAACCAACACCTTCTAATGTGGAGAAGATGGGTATTTATAGGTGAGAAGAAATCTATCCGTTGGAGGGAGATGGCATTTCAAACCTATGATCCAGTGGTTAATAACCGGAGAGCCTTGTGCATTTATTGCTTCATTAAATGCGGCTGTACTATAGAGACGTTGGAGACAAACACTTTTGCTTATTTTGTCTTCTAGCTCTGAAAAGTAGTACGGTGGCATTTAATGCACCTTGATAAGTGTGCTCTTAATCCTAGGAGAGTTTCTTCCTAGGATGATCTTCAGATGAGACAGATTGACAACATTCTTCTTGAGTTGAGAGAAGATGAGTTGTCTTGACAACCACAAAGGTCTTTTGGTTAGAAGGCTTCTTTCGACTTTTGCCTTCTGTGGTAGAAGATCATCTTTCGTTGTTCAGTAGGGATGAGGCTGTGCTTTATCAAACTGTTCTTCTTTCGTCGAGAGAGAGACCTAATTAAAAAAAAAAAGACTCTTAACTCAGTTTCGTGTGTTTGTCTAGCTTAACACGAATTACATGTTGAGTTAAGGTACCTTTCGTCTAAGATGAAGGTAAAGAAACAAATGACAAATAGTTAGGGGTCTACTTCTAAGTTACCTTGGTATCATCAAAATCGTAATACACATGTTCCTAACAATGATGTCCTTTATATGTACCAAAACAACATTAAACTTTGCAAATACTAAAAACTCAAACAATCCACACACATATATAATATATACAACACATTAATTAAAATACAGACCGTTTATTGGGACACCATTTGTTATTCTGACAAAATAGTGTTAGTTTGAATTTATTTGTTGGGTTTAAGTTCATGAAATTGCTACTTTAATTGCATATTTCATTGTTTTCTCATTTAGATATGGTTTACATTTGATTTGAATGTTTTACGATTTTTGTTAGAGTTTTGGAACCATTGTAGATCAATTGCAATAGCAAGGAAAGTTCTAGGACGTGTTTGGGTCCAAAATGGACCAGAGGGTGCTGTTGTGCGAGATTCGACGCATCAAGCCAATGGCTCGACGCGTCCAAAGTTTATAGTAGGCGAACTTTTCGAGTCAACAAAGACTAGACGCGTCGAGAATTTCCAGAAGCTGTTCGAGGTCTCAGGTTGAAGACTCGACGCGTCGAGAGGTTACAGTACGCAACTGAGAATTACGATGCCAAACTTGATGCATCGAGCTACTTCTCGATGCGTTGAGCAGGCGAGATGGGCTAGACCAAGATCATATATATAGTTGCGCGGAAAGAAAATTCTGTTTTGCCCCCGCTTGGCTCTCGCTATAAAAATGCCCAGCTTGGTTCCACCCTAGGGCATAATGCTGTGTTTTGGAGACAAGAAAGAAGAGAATTAAGAGCTACAAGTTGCCTTGGGAAGAAAGAAGAAAAGCTAGGGAGATTTGGGAGAATCACTTGGTCTATTATTTTACTATCTTTGATAGCTTGTAAACTCTTTATTTTATTGCTATGAATTCCATATTTGCCATGTGTGGCTAATTTATCTTAGAGATTCTTGAGTAAAAGTGTTTATGAACTTATGTGCCTAGTTCTCAAATTCTTTAATATATTGATATTTGAGTTTTATACTTGTGTTGCAATTGTGATTTCATATCGTTGATGCTAGTAGTTAGTGGCCATGATTACTTGTTTCACAGCTATCTTTATGTCTTAACGGGAGTTAGGGTATAATTGAGAGCACCCACAATTGCACTTAACTATTGCACCTTGGGAGGGGGCATATAAGTTAGGGAGTTAATTCTTAGCTATTGCACATCGGGAGATGATATTAGTTAAGAGTTTATATTGAATGCTTGTTCTTTCATCGTTGGGTGTTTATATCACGAGAGTGAATATTCACTTAGATTAGAGATTACGGGAGTAACTCTTTCCCTTGTTTTCATTCTCACACTTGTTTAAACCCAGATTTAATATTGTTCTTAAGATTGGCACTAGGTGATTAAATACTTGAATCCCAGGAATCTCACCTCTCTCTATTGTTTTCACAAGCCTACTACTTTGCTTTTTAAATTAGTTTTATAATCAATCCACCATCCATGATTTTCGTTAGGATTAGCTTCAATTCACAAGAATAGATTAGTAACTGGTGCTTGATACGTAAAACCGCTTCCCTATAGATCGATAACCTGATACTCCGGGTAAATTATTTGTTTGAGAAATATAATGCAATCATCATCATAGCAACATTTATTTCATATTTTATATGATAGATAGATTGAGATTTGTGTGATGCATTATTTTTGTCCACAAAAATAGTGCATCATACAAATATATATTTTCATTTAACAGCTATAGTAGTAGTAACATGTTTGATGATCTTGACAGTACCACTGGTAGCCATTGTTGTTTCTACACCACCAGTGACAACGCCTCAGATAGCAATATCCATTCCAAGAGTTTTGCACAACACATAGGTTATCGCCGCCACCACCACCTCCGCGTACTTTAACCATTTGAGTTTCTACATTCATATTATTCCACAATAACGTCAATCATGGCTAACCACAAAATCCACACTCATTTTATTAATTATTGTTATCATAACAATAAAGGAAAATGATAATGTTGACCCCTGAATTGTTTGACGTACTTTTGAAAATTTGGTTCCTATAAGTTAATTTAAACAAATTTAGCCTCTTAATTGTTCATAGTGTTGTACTTTTAGTCCATAGTATTACGTAATTGTTAAACTTCATAACCAAACTTGATCTTTTTATGATGTTATTTTTGTCATTTAGAATTAATATTCACAGTTAAAACTTAATTCCTCCATGTGAATGTTATTTTTAACAGTGAATATTGATTCTAAATGATAAAAATAATCTCATATGTTAATGAAATTTAACAATTATATAATACTAGGGACTAAAGTATAACATTATGAACAATTAAAGAGTTAAATTTGTTTAAATTAATTTAGGCCAAATTTTTTTAAAGTGAAACAATTAAGCGGTCAAAATTGTCGATTTCTCTAAAAATAAACTTATACTAAATTAATGAATTGAGGAATTAAAAAGTATGAAAATTTGAGTACAAATACCCACCATATGATGCAATGAGGATGAAGCAAAAGATGATAACAACAAAGGTCACTTTGTTAAATTGTGTAAGACCTATTCTTCTTCTTCTTCTTTGTTTTTTTGTGTTTGTTTGAAAAAATTTAGGTTGTGAAGAGGGTATTTATAGGAAGATTAATTAGATGCATTTGTGAATATGTGTTGAATCGATCAAATAGTTTTTTAATGTTTTGTTAGAAAAATGTTTAATTAATTTCAATCTATAATGAGTCGTTCATCGGACAAGCCCGTCCTATTCAGTCAAAAGGTTGAGGTGGATTTTGGAAGGTTGGTTTGCATTTGATCCAATCTCCATGTATGGAAATTTAATTTGTAAGGGTAGTATTTTTTTGTTATACAAATGTTTTAACATCTCGAACTCTTTGAAACTTGTCCAGAAGTATAAGAAATAAAGTTGCATATTTGAGTAATTAACTTTAATTACATTATAGTATAATAGTTATATTAATTTTTGGAAAAAATTATCTTTTCTTCACTTTTCTTCTCTAAATTATAGGGTAATTGAAGGATTCGTTCCTACTTGTTGTTTGTTCTTTCTTCTCGCCCTTAAGTTATAACTGGATGATGTAGTAGATACTCTTGGTTATACGATTAGATCTACGTAATGATGGCAGTATGTGGGCTCGAGAGTGAGTAACCGGGTCGGAGGCTCCCGAGCTAATATGGAATAGGTGAAAATCCAAAAGTCCCCCCTACAAGTCAATAAATGTGCCATAGAATAGAATATGTTAAAGCTTAGAATAGGTTGAAACATGATAAATGAGAAATTAAAATATGTTAAAACTTAAATATCAAAACGGCGTCGTTTTGATCCAGGGTCCACAGTGTTATGTGGACCCTTATCAAAACGGAGTCGTTGTGATCCAGGGTCCACATAGTGGACCCTGATCCACGATATAAATTGCCCAAATAAGGGGTCCAATGTGGAACTTGATTGAGATATATAAGAAAGTGTTTATGCAAGATGGGAAAACGGAACAAAGTGCTTCATCGTCCATAGAGAGGACTAAAGTGGCTTTGTGAATCACTTTAAGTTGTTTTGCGCATCTTTGGAAAAGAAGAGATGGATGTTAGCCAACAAAAATTATATTACAAGATGGTGTGTGAGAGGGTTTTGTATTAAGGAGTGGACCAAAATAGTAGTAGGTGGTTACTTATAAAAGTGTCGAGTGTTTGGAATCTAGCTCGACTAATAGGTTTGGGAATGATACAAGATCAATGAAGTATGAAGTAATAAGAAAACAAAATAACAAGCAATGGGGAAAAGTAGGGATATGGATTAAGCTACTCTGGCATAGATATTATAGAGTTTCTTAGGATAAGGATCATGTAATGATTTAACAATGATAATAGAAAATGTTACTAAGTGTGATGAGGATCTTTGGGGATGAATTTGAGAATCGATTTACCAAATCGTCCTTCGATTGCCTGATCTTTTCCTCACAAAACACCAGCAACTAAAATTATGGTTTGAGGTGTAGGAGATGGAATTAATTGGCTAATGTAGGGGCTCATTAGGGGATTACTTTTGTGTTTTTTATAAGGATATTTCCACCACACTTTGGTCTTAGGTGATGAGGAATGGATGGCACCACAAAAGTAGTAATTATCTTGATAAGCCTAGAAAAACATCTCTCAAAGGAGATCAAAAGACTCCATTACAAGCCAGTGAATGACATTCATTTCTCCTAAACACGTAGCTTAAAATAAAGTAAATAAAGGAAATGAATAACATTAAAACTATACTAAATGAAGATTTATTTGCCTTAATAGCTTGAGTTCAGCTTCATTTGATTTCTCCCAAGGTAGTTACGAAATTTGGACCATTTAGACTAGTTCCCGCCAGATTATATTTTTGGCCAAAAGGTTGGTCCAATTGATCCACAATAAGCCCGATAAATTTCATCAACAAAACTGGTCTTCAAAACTCTAGTTCAACCTTTATTCTTGGTGATGGTTTATATGGGAGTGGTTTGGGCCTCCAAATGTAAAGTTAAGTAATTGAACAACTTGGTATCTTCCTTGTGAAGCCCATCTTACTCCCAAATTGCATGGATTAATCCATTCTTAACCTCTTGCAATTTCTTAGCTCTAGAACTTGTAATTAAGTCTTCTCTTACTTGTAGTTGATCTTTGAGCCTTTGGTTGTCCTCATCAAAGTGCAATGTCATTCAATTCTAATGGCCATTGGACTACCAATTAGTATTAGATCTCATTCTCATGGCAATTTAATACAATTAAAACAATTTATCAAGTACATAATTTTCACATCTTCTTCCAACATTTTTTTCTCAAAGCAAGATTGGAAATGTCAGTAGTGTGACTATAGTATTGTCTTATTCTCTTAGCAACAACGCACATCCATGATCCTCTTGTATAGTTTGACCTTAATTATATAAGAGTGTTACAAAGCACTTACTCACAACAAGAACCTTGCAATTAAAGGGACTAGGCCTAGGAGGAGGATAAATAAAAATAAAAATATAAAAAACAAAAGAAAAAAAATCACTCAAGCATCTTTAACAAGAGAGCTCAATTATACCCAAATCCCTATGGAGGATCTAGCTACTCATATTGCGAATTGAAAAGTA